GCTTACTGCAACCTCTGCCTTCTGGGTTCAAGCAATTCTCCTCCCTCAGCCTCCTGAGAAACTGGGATTATAGGCACGCGCCACCACGCCCAGCTGATTTTTTGTATTTTTAGTAGAGACGGGGTTTCACCATGTTGACCAGGATGGTCTCGATCTCTTGACCTCGTGATCCACCCGCCTCGGCCTCCCAAAGTACTGGGATTACAGGCATGAGCCACCGCGCCCGGCCTCTCCAGTTTTTTTAGGATGGTGGTTTGTCCTATGGCTTCAATTCTTTGAGGGATCTAAGAAAAGTCATTGATTTTCAGTTTGTTCAGCTCTTCTCTTGTGAAGATAGGTGAGATGACCTCCAACATCTTTAATGTCAGGGAAGCAACTGCAAGTCTCAACTTTGCCTTTTGACCTTTTGTTTGAAATTTTCATTTTATCATTTATTTTTGCTTTAAATTTTAAGTGCTTTTTCATATTTTTATCATTTTTAATAACATACTCTGTTTAATAATTGCAATAGCTTTTGTTATCCTTTTCCCTCTGAGAAACGTGTGTGTGTATCTTTTTTCTATTTAGTGCTTTCTTCCTTGAATTCTCCTTTTTATTAAATTAATGTCTTAACATTTATTTTGTTTACCTAATATATTTTAAACCGTCTGTTAACTTTAAACTAGTTTGTAGTTTTTTATTTGCTCCTCTTACCTGAAGAATTAGTCTCTTATTTTTATCTCATCTGAAAATCTGTTTTTGGAAAAGTTGAGAAAGTTTCAGTACAATTTCTACATAGGTTGTTTTTTTTAAATCTTTTTTTAATTTTTTTTGTTTTGGTTTTGGTTTACACAGGTTTTTATATAGTCGAATGACTACTATGTAATTTTTTTTATGCTTCTGGTTTTACAATGTAACAAAACAGTTTTCCTTGTAAAAATTTCTCATAATTATAGTAAATGACATTGAGGTAGTATAATTTACTATAATTTTTCTATAGTTAGACATTGGGTTCTTCCTTTCATTTTAATTGTTTCAAGAAATTCAATGAATTTCTCTGGATTTTGATTTAGAATAGATTCTCAGAGGTTGAATTAATGAAAAACATTTATAAGGCTTTTGATACATAATTCCACTTTTTATTAAATTTAGTCTTCTGCCATTAGTGACTGAAACTGAATTTAAACAAATATGCTGGAGTTTACGTATCCCAAAGTATCGTCCTCTTTGACGTGTCCTTTCGTACAGATAATTGTTTATATAACATGCTCCACTGAAACTCTCCTTTGTGACCTGCCTTCAAAGCCTAATACATAACCTTTCGCAATTTTCATTGGTGGTAATTTTAACTTTTTAGAATAGATTTGATTTTCAGAAATAGAAGTCTTTTGAATTCATGTCTTATTACTTAGAAGTTAGAATAAACTGGATAAATTGCTTTTAACGAAAGTCTTAGTACCTATCTACCTGGATGAGGCAGGATTTTGACCCACCTCTGTCTCACTTCCAAGCCCATGTGCTTAACCACTAGGCTTATAGTCAGCAGACAAATATTTATGTAGTACCCATTATATTCTAAGCACTGTGGTAGGTACCAAGCATAGCGTAAGGGCCAAAACAGACATGCTTTTGGTTCTTATACTTCTAAAAGACTAGCTTATAAGAAACTTTCTTCTTTCAGTTATACTCTTTTAAGAATATAAGTAATATAACTTAAAAAAAATTCATCTTGTTGATAGTATTTATATACATTATCTCGTGGTGTTATTTTCTTAAAAGCATAAGGCATTACTTATTTTTGTCTCTCAATTGCTATGCATTTAGTATTGCTTAGCTAGTACTTGTTCTAATGAATGTTTGATTTTATACTGATAGCTTTGATTCAAATTCATTTTAAACAGAGCGGCATTATAAGTTGCCATCTAAGCTGGAATATGCAATTGCCCTAACTTTAGGTGGTGTGTTAGAGAAGGTGTTTTGACAGGGCAGTATACAGTTACTTTGAGGATACTTAAATGGTAATAAGAGGATAGAAAAATTAATCTGATTTTAGAGGACCTCAAGGTAAATTTCTATCTATCTGTGTAAAAAATCTTGATTAAAAAAAAAGTGGAGGTTTAAAAAATATTTATTAGGACTTCTTTTATTCTGCCATTTTTATTTTATTACATCAGAATTGGATACTTATAGCTATGCCTTAAAATACAGATCAATCTTTTTTTGAATCCTGTACAGTAATAGTATTGCTTTAAACATTAGGGAAGCAGAAATTGGTCCTGGACTTACAGAAATAACTTAGTCATAAGTTTGGAACCTCAAGAAAGAAGATGGGCATTGGGCATTTTCTAACTCATTTCTCTTGGCATTTATCATACATACTAGGGTAAATAAACAATTTAATGTTAATAGCTTAGATGCTTGAATCTTTTTTTTGAGTCCTATTTTATTTTTCTCAAGTCAATGTGAGTGTATGAGTCAATCACCAATTTTAAAGGACATCTAGAAAACATTTGATATCACCTCCTGAAATTTCCGTAATTTGATTCAATTAATTAGTTATTATTATTTATTATACTTTAAGTTCTGGAATACATGTGCAGAACGTGCAGGTTTGTTACATAGGTATACATGTGCCATAGTGGTTTGCTGCATCGATCAACCCGTAATCTACATTAGGTATTTTTTCCTAATTCTATCCCTCCCCTAGCCCCACCACCCTCCAACAGGCCCCAGTGTGTGATGTATTCCTCTCTGTGTCCATGTGTTCATTGTTCAACTTCCACTTATGAGTGAGAACATGCAGTGTTTGGTTTTCTGTTCCTATGTTAGTTTGCTGAGAATGATGATTGCCAGCTTCATCTGTGTCCCTACAAAGGACATGAACTCATCCATTTTTATGGCTGCATAGTATTCCGTTGTGTCTATGTGCCACATTTTCTTTATCCAGTCTATCATTGATGGGCATTTGGGTTGGTTCCAAGTTTTTGCTATTATCAACAGTGCTGCAATAAACATACATGTACATGTGTCTTTATAGTAGAATAATTTATAATCCTTTGGGTATATACCCAGTAATGGGATTGGTGGGTCAAATGGTATTTCTGGTTCTAGATCCTTGAGGAATCACCATACTGTCTTCCAAAATGGCTGAACTAATTTACACTCCCACCAACAGTGTAACAGCTTTCCTATTTCTCCACATTTTCTCTAATATCGGTTGGTTCCTGACTTTTTAATGATTGCCATTGTAACTGGCATGAGATGGTATCTCCTTGTGGTTTTGATTTGCATTTCTCTGATGACCAGTGATGATGAGCTTTTTTTCGTGTGTTTGTTGGCTGCATAAATGTCTTCTTTTGAGAAGTGCCTGTTCATATCCTTTGCCCACTTTTTGATGGGGTTCTTTGTTTTTTGCTTGTAAATTTGTTTATGTTCTTTGTAGATTTTGGATATTAGCCCTTTCTCAGATGGATAGATTGCAAAAATTTCTCCTATTCTGTAGGTTGCCTGTTCACTCTGATGATAGTTTCTTTTGCTATACAGAAGCATTTTATTTTAATTATGTCCCATTTGTCAATTTTGGCTTTGGTGGCCATTCCTTTGGTGTTTTAGTCATGAAGTCTTTGCCCATGCCCATGTCCTGAATGGTATTGCCTAGGTTTTCTTCTAGGGTTTTTATGGTTTTAGGTGTTACATTTAAGTCTTTAATCCTTCTGGAGTTAATTTTTGTATAAGGTATAAGGAAGGGGCCTAGTTTCAGTTTTGTGCATATGGCTAGCCAGTTTTCTCCACACCATTTATTAAATAGGGAATCCTTTCCCCATTGCTTGTTTTTGTCAGGTTTGCCAAAGATCAGATGATTGTAGATGGGTGGCATGATTTCTGAGGACTTTGTTCTGTTCCATTGGTTTATATATCTGTTTTGTTACCGGTCCCATGCTGTTTTTGTTACTGTAGCCTTGTAGTATAGTTTGAAGTCAGGTAGTGTGATGCTTCCAGCTTTATTCTTCTTGCTTGGGTATACAGGCTCTTTTTTGGTTCCATATGAAATTTAAAGTCGTTTTTTCTAATTCTATGAAGAAAGTCAATGGTAGCTTGATGGGGGATAGCACTGAATCTATAAATTACTTTGGGCATTATGGCCATTTTTATGATATTGATTCTTCCTATTCATTAGCATGGAATGTTCTCCATTTGTTTGTGTCTTTTCTTATTTCCTTGAGCAGTGGTTTGTAGTTCTCCTTGAAGAGGTCCTTCACATCCCTTGTAAGTTGTATTCCTAGGTATTTTATTCTCCTTGTAACAATTGTGAATAGGAGTTCACTCATGATTTGGCTCCCTGTTTGTCTATTATTGGTGTATAGGAATGATTGTGATTTTTGCACATTGATTTTGTATCCTGAGACTCTGCTGAAATTGCTTATCAGCTTTGGGAGATTTGAGGTTGAGACAATGGGGTTTTCTAAATAATCAATCAAGTCATCTGCAAACAGAGACAATTTGACTTCCTTTCTTCCTATTTGAATATCCTTTTTTTCTTTCTCTCGCCTGATTGCCCTGACAAGAACTTCCAATACTATTTAGGAGTGGTGAGAGAGGACATCCTTATCTTGTGCTGGTTTTCAAAGGGAATGCTTCCAGCTTTTGCCCTTCAGTATGATATTGGTTGTGGGTTTTTCATAAATAGCCCTTATTATTTTGAGATATGTTCCATCAGTATCTACTTTATTGAGAGTTTTTAGCATGAAGGGCTGTTGAATTTTATCAAAGACCTTTTCTGCATCTATTGAGATAATCATGTGGTTTTTGTCATTGATTCTGTTTATGTGATGGATTACATTTATTGATTTGCATATGTTGAACCAGCCCTGCATCACAGGGATGAAGCCAACTTGACCATGGTGGATAAACTTTTGATGTGCTGCTGGTTTTGACTTGCTATATTTATTGAGGATTTTTGCATCTATGTTCATCTGGGATATTGGCCCTGAAATTTTCTTTTTTTGTTGTATCTCTGCCAGGTTTTGGTGTCAGAATGATGGTGCCTCATCAAATGAGTCAGGTAGGAGTCCCTCTTTTTCTATTGTTTGGAATAGTTTCAGAAGGAACGATACCAGCTCCTCTTTGTGCCTCTGGTAGAATTCTGCTCTGAATCCTTCTGGTCCTGGGCTTTTTTTGGCTGATAAGCTGTTAATTATTGTCTCAATTTTAGAACTTGTTGTTGGTGTATTCAGGGAATCAGCTTCTTCCTGGTTTATGTGTCTAGGAATTTATCCATTTCTTCTAGGTTTTCTAGTTTATTTGCGTAGAGGTGTTTATAGTATTCTCTGATGATAGTTTGTATTTCTGTGGTATCAGTGGTGATATCCCCTTTATCTTTTTTTTATTGTGTCTATTTGATTTTTCTCTCTTTTCTTCTTTATTAGTCTGGCTAGCAGTCTATCTATTTTGTTGATCTTTTCAAAAAATCAGCTTCTGGATTTATTGATTTTTTTGAAGGGTTTTTTGTGTCTCCATCTCCTTCAGTTGTGCTCTGATCAATTAGTTATTTCTTGTCAAATACCAAAGCCAGACAAAAACATTACAAGAGGACACAACAGACCAGTGTCTCTCATGAAGCTTATCTCAAAAATCCTCAACAGTATATTAACAAATCCAGCAACATACAGAAGGATAATATATGACCAACTAGGGTTTATTCCAGGAGTGTATGGCCATTTCAACATGCAATATTCAATCAATATAATTCACAGAGTGAAAAATGAAAACCATATAATCTTCTTGGTAGTTATACGAAGAGCACTTGGAACATTCAACACCAATTCATTATAAAATTTCACAACAAACTAGGAATAGCAGGAAACTTCCTTAACTTGATAAATGGCAAATACTAATACTACAGCTAACATAATAATGGCAAACAACTGAATGCTTTTCCTCTAAGGTTGAGAAGAAGTAACAATATCTGCTGACGTAATGCTTATTCAAGATTTTTCTGGATGTCTTTGTCAATACAAGAAGACAGGAAAAAGAAATAAAATGTGTACAGGCTGGAAAGGAATAAACCTAACTGTACTTATTTAAATGAGTTTATCAAGTTGTAAGATACTAGGTCAATATATAAAAATCCATTTTACTTCTATATACTATCAATGAAGGATTAGAAATTTAAAAAACTTAAATGTATCATTTACAATAACACTGAAAACAAAACAAAATACAATAACACTGAAAACCAAACCAAAAAAATGCTTAGGTATAAGTCTAGCAAAATATATGCAGCATCTATATGCTGAAAACTATGAATTATTTGTGAAAGAATTCAAAGAAGGCCTAAATATATATCCTGTGTTTATGGATTTAAAAATTAAATATTAAGATGTCAATGCTTTCCAAATTGATTTATAAATTCAATGCAATTCTAATCTATATTCTATCATAACATTTTGAAGATCTTGACAAACTAATTTTAAAATGTATATGGAAAGGCAAAGGATCTAGAATAGACAAACAATTTTTAAGAAGAATAATGTTGCACTTTGGGAGGCTGAGGTGGGCAGATCACGAGATCCAGAGATAGAGACCATCCTGGCCAACATGATGAAACCCCATCTCTACTAAAAATACAAAAATAGGCTGGGTGTGGTGGTGCATGCCCATAGTCCCAACCACTCAGGGGGCTGAGGCAGCAGAATCACTTGAATCGGGGAGGTGGAGTGAGCCATGATTGTGACACTGCACTCCAGCCTGGTGACAGAGCAAGAAAAAGAGAAGAAGAGTATTGCAATACCAACACTACCTGATTTCAAAGCTTTCTTTAAAGCTGCAATGCTCAAGACTGTGGTATTTATGAAAGAACATGTAAATAGATCAATAGAACTGAAGAGAGTCTAAATATAGACCCATACATATATGGTAAAATGATTTTTGCCAAAGATGTTAAGGCAAAAAAATAATTTTTGTTTTAGCTGGATGAGGTCTGAAAAATAATCTTTTCAGCAAGTCCATTCTAACACTCAGCCATGTATATGCCAAAATAATTCACCTTGACCTATATCCAATGCTTGATATCCATTTTACCTTAAATTGTACCATAGACATATATGTAAAAGACAAAATTATTAACATTTTGGAAGAAAACATAGGAGAAAATCGTTGTGTCCTAATTTTAAATTTGGGTGAAAATTCCAGACACAATACAAAGAAATAACCATTCATTAAAAAATGGACATTGAGCTTCACCAATATTAAACATTTTTACAGTGTAAATGACACTGTTAAGAAAAGGAAAACACAAGCCATAGAGATGGAGAAATTATTTTGAAAATCTCATATCTGACAAAGGCTTTGGATCCAGAATATATATGAACTCTTAAAACTCAAAAACAAGAAAACAATCCGATTTTTAAATGGCCAAAAGATTTGAACAGACAGTTCATCAAAGAAGGTAAACAGATGACAAATAAACACATGAAAATATGTTCAACATAATTGGTCATTAGGGCTATGCAAATTAAAACTGCAATATAGCATCACTACTTATAGATCGGAATGGCTGAAATCAGAGACTGGCCATTCCATGTGCACTGGAAGGGTATGGAGCAAATGGATGTCTTATACATAGCTATGATAATGCAAACTAGTACCCTGGGAAAACAGTTTAGCAATTACTTATAAAATTAAACATACATTTACACATTACAATCCATCATTCCACTCATAGTCATTTAACTAAGTGACAAAAACACTGACATTTACCTAAAAAACTGTATGTGAATGTTTTATAAATGTTCCTACTCACCAAAAACTGCAAATAATATGAATGTCCCTCACCTGGAGAATCGATAAACAAGCGGTGGTACATCCATGCAATGTACCATATACCAATTTTACTCATCAATAAAACACATCAACATGAATTAATCTCAAATTCATTATGCTGAGATTAAACCAGATTCAAAACATGATATTCCATGCAATTCCATCTATATGATATTCTGGAGAAGTGAAACAATAGGGAATGAGAACTGACCCGTGGTAGCCAGGAGCCCAGAAGTATAACTCGAGGAATTTGGGGTGGGGTTGATGAAACCATTTTTGTGTATTGTTTGTGTTGGTAGAGAAACAACTCCATGCTTTTGTCAAAACCCATAGAACCATTCACCAAAAAGGGTAAATTTTACTGTTTAGAAATTAAAGTAAATAGAAAAAAGTGCATCTATATCTCTAGATTTTTAAACTTGTACCATCCTCTGGTCATTTCTCTGGAGACTTTTTTTTTAATATTAACTTTTAAACTTCACAGATGATTCATAAAGGAGCTTGTCAAGTGGCACCTCGATTCTCTCAGCTTACAAATTACTTTGCAGTAATATAAGCAACAAAACAAAACAAAAACCAGGTATGTACCATTTTGTGGGCTAAGATTTAGCTACATTTGATCGTTCTTACTAAAAGTATAAGATTTTAATTATTATGTTATAAACTATGAAAGTAATATTGAATTGTGATTGTAATTGTACTTACCACACAATGGTTCAAAAAATATTGTTCGCTTTCAATAGTTAGAGCAATGAATGTAGTGGCAGAGAGAACAGAGAGAGATCTAATTGATACCTTCTACTCAGGAAATAAGAAGAAGTGAGTCATCTGAAGGACTGATGGGAGAAGAGAATGTCTTGATATTTGCCAATGAGTTTTCTGAACAGGGCTATTAGCCACATTCTATTTTTCTTTCTGTGCTATATCCAGTCACTTACGGTGACACAGAGAACAGGATAATATGGATAAAAAAATTCCCATGGTGCATCCTCTGCTGTCACTTCAACCAGTGATGACTTTTTTTTTCTGAACGTCATTACAATTTGAAAAATCAAACTTCTTAGCTTTTGTTTCCCATCATATCCTGTAATGAGAAGTAATAAAGAAAAAAAATTAGAATTTAACAAGGAAAAGCATCAACATCACAGCGCTGGTGAACCTACAGAGAGGCAGCATGGTATTACAGCAGGGCACAGATGTTAGGATTGGAAATACAGTATTTAGGTTCAAATCCCAGCCTGTCACTTACCAGCTATTTAGATAAATTACTCAATCCCTATGAGCCTCATTTTCTTCACTTTTAAATTGGAAAAATAGCACTCATCATAAATTTTGGGTGAGAATTAAGATCACATAATAGATTGAATTCAGTATTTGGGAATACAGAACAAGAAATAGTTGTTAGTATTGACCGTTATTATTTATAATTATACATTTCTAAAATTGCTACAGAGTAATGGAGTTGACCATATTTAAGTTTCTATCATCCCTTCTATTTTAACATTTACTAACTGTATGACTTTGAGCACATTATATAATTTCTCTGGCCTTAGTTTTCTTGTCTGTAAAGTGAGGATAAATGTAGTATTACCTATTTCATAGTATCCTTATAAGGATTAAATAAATTAACACTTCTAAAGCTCTAGATAGACAGTGCCTGGCACATGATAAGTAGGCAATAAGTGTTAGCTATTACTGCTACTACTATTATTATTATTATCGTTATTGTTATTCTCAACCAAAGATTAACAAATACTAATTGAACAATATTATAGTGACAGTGTTGGTAAAAGAAAAGATTTGTGAGTTATACTGAATATTAAACTGGAGTATTGAGTCTAAATTTGTAGAACTAAATACTCAAAGTATTTGACTGATTAATCAATGTATGCATTAGCAATTCAGAAAATGGACTGTGAACTAGACATTAGGAATAATCAGGAAGAGCAATAGTCAGTATTTGAGGAGAACTGAATACATGGGGGAAAGAAAAGAGTTTTCTAGGCTGGGACAAATAGAGCAAAGTGCACATGGAGAAAAACGTGTCCACCAGCAGTAAGATAGACACAAGAAATTGCAAAATAGTAAAGTGATACAATGGATTACTGTACAGCAGAGAAGATTTACTAATTATGCCTACATGTCAATGTGAGAAATCTCACAAACAGAATATGGAGTGAAACATACACATCACAGGGGAAAAATGATATTATTCTACTTCTATAAAATTCAAATGCAAAATCAAGCTACGTTGTTAAGGAATAACATGTAAATAATAAAAACTATTAATAATGATTATCACAAAAGTTAGGACAGTAATTACTTCTGGGGAAGAGAAAGGAAGTGAAGAGAAGGGCAGAGAATGAGCTTCTAAGAATATTAACAATGTTCTATCATTTCATTGTGTGTGTGTGTGGTGTGTGTGTGTATGTGTGTGTCTGTGACTGTGTGTGAACTTGAGTATTTGCTTTGCAACTGTTATTTTAACAAGTAAAAGTGTGAATGAGGTCCAGGAGGTCAGCAAACCCAACCAGAGGGTACAGTATGTTGTGGAGTAGCAGGCATTGAAACAAATAAGGTGATACTCAATCCATTTCTTTGTTACCGCTGAGCAGCATCCAATTAGTTGCTCCTCTACCCCTACCCCCAGTAAGCTTAAAACTCTCAATTTCCTCAAAATCCAGAGATAAATAATGAAAGTCATCAAACAGAGTCAAGGGATCGCCAAGGAGGGTATTGAATCCTCCAAGAGGAATGCTACCTCTGACACCTAGCTAGCTGGGCAGGGGGCATCTGGCACAGGGCAAGAGTGAGGTGTTGATAGCTGGAGGTTGTCTATCAATATTAAGGGCTTCCTCCTTACAATCGAAGTCCTTATTCCAGTTGACAAATGACACCTCACTGAAAAGGACGGTGGAATTCATTTCGCCGTCAAGGGTATGGCTGAAGTAGGTCTGATCAGTCCTCAGTGGGGAAATGGAAAAGATCGAGTGAGGATAAACCAAAGGAATGTACTTTTACTGTGGAGATCAGAATGAGACGCAGGCCGATATACGTGCAAGTTTATCTTCTGTGTCCGAAAATCTGTCCCAGACATTCCATTGCTCATTGCTGTCTTTCTTTTAAACCTGTTGTCAAGGAAATAAGATGCAAGCTGAGCAGGTGGGAACCAGAAGCAAAAAATTTAATACTGTATTTTAATGCTTTTAGAATCTAGTGAGCCACAGAAAGATTCATTCTGAGCTCTTGTTATCTTTTAATGGCCAACCAGGTAAAAGCTGGATATTTGTAAGTATTTTTGTGTTATTTGGGTTCAGTTAAAGCCAGTCTCTCTCTCTCTAATAATTATTCCGGGAACAAGGTAAATGTCCAAGACTAAATAAAAGTGACATTAGAATACCATAGCAGGTAAGTCTTGCCTTGCTATGAGACTTATTTTGTTGTTGATGATGTAGTCTATAAAGTGCTAGATACTTTACATAACCCCTCAGCCACCTTGAAAAATTTAGTTTTTAGATAAGATAGCAGAGGCTTTGCGAGGTTAAATAACTTGACCAAGAACATGTAGTGAAATAAGGAGCTAAACTCAGTTCTGTGTGAACTCAAAGCAAAAACGAGAGGTGATAGCTACTTTCTTAAGAAGAGAAAGGAGATGACTTTACACAGAATCTTATCCAAGCTGGTCAGAGAGGTGAAAGGCCAATTCCCAGAGGGATTGCTATATTTAAGGAAAGTCTTTCTTAACTAGTGAAAGACTGGAAGATGATGCTATTTACTGGGAAGAACAAAGTTGCGACAGCTTCCTAAGGGAGAAAAAGCTACAACCCTTGAAAGAACTGGGAGAAAGTGGCATGGATCCCCAAACTGGAAAGACTCAATACAGTATATTTGGATATAGTCATCTGAGATTTTGATTATGGTCCCATTTTTACCACTAAATTGAACTTTGAGCAATCACTTCACCAACTTGGCAAATGTAAACTGCAACATACCACAATGTACTGAAGTTGAAAAAGTGAGATAGGATACCTAGCTTAGATCCATATCAGCCTGGCACATGGAAGGAGCAAAGATATCACACCAAGCTAAATTTAAATGTTTATACATCTTATTTTATTTCTTCTTATAAGATAAAAATGAACATAAAAAGTAGTGCTAACATTTTCTTCCTGCACTTCATTGGATTGTTTTACCACCCCATGGCTTTCAGGGACATGGACTGAATGAAATAAATGATAAGGCTTGGAGAATGGCAGTTCCAACTGGAGGCCTCTACCTTGGCAAAAGATCAGCCAGGTCAAATATACTGAGAAAAGTATTGACTTTAGAAATACTATAAGGCAGGTGGTTAGGAGACAGAGATGTTAGAATTCTGAACTATAGCTCTTCTGCAAAAATGCCCTGTACTTTTGAAATGTAGAAACCTTTGTTTTGGCCAGCCATGGTGGCTGACGCCTATAATCTGGGCACTTTAGAAGGCCGAGGTGGGAGGATCACTTGAGCCCAGGAGTTTGAGACCAGCCTGGACAATATAGTGAGACCCCAACTCTACCAAAAAAAATATTAGCCAGATGTGGTGTTTACACCTGGTCCCACCTACTTGGGAGGCTGAGTGGGAAGATCACTTGAGCCCAGAGACTGAGGCTGCAGGGACTGTGACAGCACCACTGCACTCTAGCCTGGACAACAGAGTGAGACCTGTCTCAATAAAATATTATATCTATATCTATCTATCTGAGTATATCTATGATGGACACTACAAACTCAAACTCAAATGAGTAAAATGGGTTGAATGAAAATGGCCACCCAGTCCTCTTGTTTTCTCACTTTGATAGGGAGCATGATTCTACTATACACCATAGCATGCACTTAAGAAGATGTCTGGCATGTAACACTCAGTCTCAGTGCAGGACAGGAGTTGGGAATGTTGTGGATGATGTGAACCGGAAAACGGGGCAGTGGCTACTCATGTCTTGTTGATGGTTGTAGTGTGGGATTTAGATCCAGTCTTGCTAAATTTCTGATTTTTCCAAAGAGGCCAGAAATCCAACTGTTAGGTAAAAAAAAAGTCTTGATTAAAAAAAAGACTACCTTTTGACTAAGATTTTGTAAAACATTGTCTAAAACATAGTAGGGGCCACACAAAATAGGCCATCAGCCTGATCTGTTCTGTGGTAGTCAAATAGTTTGCAGCCTGACTTATTCCAATGCCAGAAACCTGGGCTTGCAAGTGGTCCTCCTTTCATCCTCAGGGGACTGACTAGCAGTGACTTCCTCAGGGATGCCTTCCCAGCCAGATTGGCTATCCCAGTTGTATTTTCTCTAGTCCTCTATGCATTCCAATCCTTCCTCTCTACAGACTGTTTTTTGTAATTACATGTTTGATGCTTTTTGTTCCTGCTAGACTGTAAGTTAATGAAGGAGGAAACTATTTCTGTGTAGGTTATTGTCATTAGGTTTCCTGGAATCAGACAGTAGTGGACTGGGAGTTGTGTGAAGAAGGTTTAGTGGGCAGTGCTGTTGAGAACACTGGGTGGGTGAGGGAACAGGATTGGGCTGGGAGAGAAGTGGATTGAACAACTTTTTAGAGATACAACCTGGGACACAGCCATAAATAACATAGAATAAATAAGTTGTGTGTTATGATTTCAACATAAACATATTTAAATGGGCATATCTTTGAAATTGTATTAAATTTTGTATTACTTACTTTTCTGATATATAATTGCTGTCATTTAAGCCAAAATAACGTAACTAGTTAACAATGGCAATTAGTAGTAATTAATAGTTGGACTAATTTAAAAAAATTATGTGTGAGGAGGATTTAACAATATTTTATAATATTTCTTTCCTCTGAAACAGTGATTTATTTTAATTCTTGTCATCTCTTTATTTGATAGTAATCGATTTAAGACTGTATTAGTGTGTATTTTATGATCCATACTAATTAAACATGTAGTGGTAAGAGTGAATAACAGTCAAATGCAAAATTCACTTTGCCTTGCACCACTGCTCTTATCAAGCCCACAAATACACTGATTCGTGGTGTCAAGCTACTGTGATGACGTTGATGTAAATACATTCTCAAAAAAAGAATTTTAGCATTGAATACCTTGGGATTTCACTCACTAGCAACAACAGATTTTTAGACTTGTCAGATTTGTCTATTCATTTTGTGTCTACAGACTTTTTTGGTAGACCAGCTGCTTATCAGTCAGGTTTTTTGCATCTAGAAGTTAATCATATAGCTTATCCATGTCTAAATTGTCCATCAGTTTTAAACATTCTTAAGCACATTGGACATTATCATAAGTTAAACCTCTCTTTATCTGGAAAAAATTGATTTTAAAGAATAGAGGTAATTTTAATTTGTAAAATTGAAGATGAATTCCAAATAAGGTATAGTTTTAGTAAAGAAATGAGAAAGCTCTGTTTAACTTGGCTACCCTTTTTTGAGTTCTGAAGAAAACTTATTTTGTTTATTTATTTTTTGAGATGGAGTTTTGCTGGAGTGCAATGGCGCGATCTTGGCTTACTGCAACCTATGCCTCCCAGGCTCAAGCAGTTCTGCCTCAGCCTCCCGAGTTCCTGGAATTACAGGTATGTTCCACCACACCTGGCTCATTTTATGTTTTTAGCAGAGACGGGGTTTCTCCATGATGGTCAGGCTGGTCTTGAACTCCCAACCTCAGATGATCCGCCTGCCTCGGCCTCCCAAAGTACTGGGATTACAGGCATGAGTCACTGCACCTGGCCTAAAAAATCTTATTTTTAATGAAAGGAGTCACTTTTTTTCACTGTATGAAAAAAAATACGATGTTGTTGCAATCTCAACAGCTTTGAGCAGTAATGGCAGTCAGTTCATCCTTTGCTATCACCTCTTCAAAGGTCATTGGTTTTGAAGAGACAACATATAAGTTAATGTTTTACTATAAATATTTTTCTCCATCCTCACCCTCAATGCATTTTAAAATTAGAGAAGGACATTCTTCTTCTCCCACACTTTGGAAATATAATTTATGGCAGGCTAATATTTTAACATCTTTTTACAGCTGGCAACAATGACATACATCTTGTAGGTCCCTGTCTAAAGAAGCAAACTCCTGTTCTTTTCTCTAAAGTAAAGTCTCATGACATGTTTCTCTACACTTTGAGGAAATTGAAAAGTATTGAGGTTTTTATGATGAAAGTCTCAATATTACAGGTAAG